ATAACATTACCCTTTGACAACCGCGCGCTCTAAAAGTGTCGGCGCATGCAACCGCGCGTGTTTTTGGAAAATGCGGCCAAAGCCCACCGGCTAGCCACACACGGTCCCACAGACCCTGTTATTTCGTTTGTGTATAACAACACTGACTCTGCAGCAGGTTTCCTTTCTGAACTGTCGCATAAATCAACTAAGCATTGCATCGAGAAGGAAAGATTAGTGACTTATCGAAGTGTTGAAGAATTTGTGTAATTTGAATAGACTGTTGGGCTGCCCAGAAGCTGCTTTCTTGCGTAATCTGTCCATTTGAAAGCGAATACCGTGAGTGATTTTGATGTAGAATTACCCCGCTAATGAAGTTGGAAACTTTTATCAATCTCATTAGAAGTGTTTTTTTCTTGTTAGCATTACACGTAAACAGTTTCGGACCATTCCGTGTGTGACTTTGCGGAAGAGGCCTCTAACCAAATATTGCTTGAGGACTCGGAAAATGATAAAAATAGGCGGTTGTCGAAAAATTTTTCGCCGTGGCGTACTGGTGGGCCATACGGTCGTGTAGGTTAAACAAGTTTAATAAAAAGAAATACTGGAAAGCCACTATACAAGCTCACTCACCCATTTTGTGTAACTGCTCCTTCACACATATGTCATAAGTAGTCTGGAAAAATGTTACGCATGATGGTGTGATTAAATCCTCATTTTGCTTGTATAGATTAGACATCGAGAAAACTCGGCCAGCCAACGTATCACTGAAAGCACCGAATCAAAGCAAATTGAGAAGCTTAGCTATGAAAGCAATGAAGCAATGACACCAAGCTTTCAGAGCATAATTCTTTGCTGACCTGTAGAACAATGGCAACGATTCCAGCGGCTTTTCATGACGAAACAAGACGAAAGCTATGCGGTGATAACCCGATCCACAAAATGGGAGCGGCTGAAGGTAACGCACCACCTGCAAATAAAAATGGATTACCATGTTAGGCAGTAATAAGGATAAAGGATAACGCATTCCACGTGGATCGAACCCTGTTCAGGATGCGCCACGCTCTCCATTTACTTCAAAACTGCAGTGGCATTTTTAGTGCGAACTCGTCTATCCAACATCGTTGGGATCAGGCGAAGTTGTAGTCATCCGCTCCCAACACAATGTATGGACACCAATAAGTGAACCACAAAGGAAAGAGGAATGTTCGCTTGGACTGGCCGTCGTCCGGTCTAGAATTTGATCCACGGACCGTGCGAGTGATAAGTGGCGCTTCTTCACACTACATCAGGGTAAATAACGGTCGTGGAACTCCTCGTCCATGGCTCGCTACTGTGCGAGTGTAGTGTCGAGAGTGAATGTACGCGCGGAGAGGGCAGATGGCTCGCGGTGGCGAGAGTGAATATCCGCGGGGAGAGCGCCACGGAACAGGTGAAAACCCTCGACAAGCCTTGCCGTTTCTTCGACCGATTTTCATGCGGCATTACACCACTTCCGCAACATGTGAGCCATGCTCAGCTACTCAGGAATTCCTGATACGTTGAAAACTGTCGAGTGAATGCGTCTAGAGTTGAAAATTGTGAAGCGATAACGAACACTATCAGACTTAGACAACAGTTTACTTACTTTTCCTATCTGTTGATAGCATTTTCCGCATCTGGAATATTAGTCACAATCCAGTGAGCAACTTCTCCCTCTTTCTCATAAGGATTTCCATCAAGGTTCACCATGAATAAGGAATTGTACTCCCCAGACTTGACGGATTCAATTTTAACCTGAAAACTAAGCTGATTGTTTATTGTTAGTTTTTTTTATCTTTCTTTTTTTTTTTTTTTTTTAGTAGCAGAAACGGCGGGAAAAAATTAAAGACGAATTACGATTGTAGAAGCAACATTTCAAATTAACTTAGGGATGGTTAGTGGTACACGAAAGAAGGAAGAACCATGAGAATCGACCGGACCCGCCAGCTTTGAGGCATGATAGGTCGCCGAGGTCAAATTTTTCCATGCGAATTGCGCGTCAGTTCGCACCCTCAGGAGGTCCGTGGGTCCCTCAACTAGGTCAGTTTCCCTTTCTTCGACCTTCATTCTAATCGTGAATTCCTCCTTTAAAAGGTGCCAAAAAACAATGAACCGGAGCTAGCACCGATTCTAAACTTGAGCATGAGGTATTCCGTCAACAGCCTTTTACTGGTAATTCACAGCCAAACAAACCTCAGGCATCGATGACAAAAGATCCACCGATATAGTATTTCCAAAATATACAGCATTGTCACCGTAGGAAACTTCAAGATTCTGCACATTGTGAAAGAATGTTCCCTTAATGAGGAAAACTTGCACATACAATGGTGTGTATTTGGATATTGCCAAAGGGTTATATAAGCAAAGTTCTGAATTACACTGTAACGATACCTGCTCCAAAGAGGTGTTCAAAAACACCATAATGTTGTAAGACAGTAAAACTTGAAAATTCAGTCGTTTCGGGATCTACCAACACTGAAGGGAAACACCATTTGTCACAACTACGATCAACAACAAACGACCTAAACAACTCACACTCCATTTTTCTAGCTTTCCGTTCCAAGAAAAAAAAGAAAAAAAAATCAAAAAAACAAGACTGCACGTTCTTCATCGGTTTTCACAACTGAGATCCGTTTTGGTCGCGGTGCAAAGCCGATGTCTATTGGAGTATGCTTTGGTTTTTCTGGAAAGGACAAATCTTCGGCCGAACACAGCGATGTTCATTAATGAAGAATTTTAAAAACTAACGTCTCTCTAGTAGCTCATGTAGTGAATGTAAATGATTAGTGGGATCAATAAGATGCAATTTCGGATATTGTTCTGGTTTGTCAATTCGGCCCTTGTACCATCTGTCAATCTCATAAAATCTAAAAAGAGAATTTTCTGAAGGGTATCGTGTAAGTAGGGGGAGTGTTGTAGTGGCGAATGGGCGCTACTTCTCTGCGCCGGTTCGGGGGTCAAATCTCG